TCCTCCACGAAGGCATCCCTCCCCTTAGGCAGATAGCCCTCGAGGCTTTGCCATAACCACACACACACACACTTTAAGGCAACTGCAATCTTTTTTCATCAGAATGTTTTCGTAAGTATATAGGGATCAGGGTTGGTCCTAGGAATTTTTTAACCCCATGTAGTTAACGCATTTTGCAATCTCTTTGAAAATTAACAATGCTTCAATGGTAAGTTTTGATCAAGTTTGCTGTTCCTGAAAATTTGCTGTTCTGTACAAACTTTTGGGTGAGACATATATTGCACCGTCGGCAGAGCAGGCCTTTTTGAAGATACAATTGCCCTCAAAATAATAGCGTTAAGGCAATTGTTTATCGTTATTCTTCGCGCTAATAATCACGACTTTTTCTAATAATAAAGTTCCGTCTTGCGTTTTCATACAGTCAAATCACGTTATCACGATCCTCCTTTTAGGCCGACGAAAAACAAGGCTACTGCTACGCTTTGTATGCATTGTAACAGAAGACTGTTTAAAAAACTATTTATTTCATTAATTTAGGTATTAAAATCATTATTATGTATTTATTACACAGTCATTAAAGTTTAATATGCCTAAATGTTTTTCATACGTATGTCTATTGGCGTAACGTTTGATCGCGTACATCGTAACCGTATGACCGTATGTATTTTCAAACAGCGAAACGCTGGATTTTCTTGACAACACAGTTTTCCCTTTTACAATCAATTATTTTTAAATAAAGCCTTTTGTTGAATGCTATAGATTTTAGTAAAATGAATTTGCTTATTTACAAATATTAAAATTTTTAATTTAGCATCGATTGCTAAACCAGGAAGCTTAGTCCTTGGCATTGCAAGCATAGTTAAAATTACATCTGGTCTCTAAGAAATAATAAGAAGGGTAGAAGTGTATTAAACGCAAATTAAATTATTCCTGTGATCCTATCTTGTATTTAGAAAGGTAAAGTTCTGTGAAATCTAGGAAAGAAAAGAACTAACGTGAAACAAAGGTGTAACACAGCTTTAACATAGTATCTACATTTTTTAGTTTAGAAAATTTACTAATTTCGTATACAATACATGTGCAACGCTGGTGTGTTACTCAGTCCTATGGGGTATAAAATGCGAGTCGTTAAGACCCTATTTCTTATTTTTAACTTCTTAGAAAGTTGAATTTATTTGAGATTTAAAAGAAATTCAATTTAATCCCAAATACATGTGTTTGACATTACTTTTAATTTATTGGTCCTAATTACACGTAAATTTACTTACTAATGGTTCTCAGAAAAAGAAAATTATCAATTTCTAAAAAAGCATTATATTTCATTTTATTAAGGTATTCAAGAAGGTCGTTATAAGGTGATTTTGATAATTATAACGCGATTTTGGGTTGTTTGAAGAAATTTGCAAGTAATTACCTTAAATTAGGAAATCGATCGAAATGAGCCATTTATAAAGGATCTTACGAATTAATTTCATGAATCGGCTACATTTTAAAAATAAAACTGTGAAATAAAATTTTATTTTTTGCCGAAACCTTCCAGATCCTCTATTTATAACTGAAATCAGTTTAATGATTCTAGTTGCGATATATTTTTCTTTGAATTTAAAATTCCTTCTTAAAAACGTTACTATTTTAAATAAAAAATACATTTAGTTACGCATGATAAGCTGTACTCATTGGTAATATGTCATTCTATGCGTTTGCAAGCTAAAAAATGTGTAAATAATTATAGAGGAACTGTAGTGTTTCTCTTAGATTTTGGAGTTTGAATTCATCATACGTTTGGAGGCCGCATTAGTCTGAAATATTTCGTCTTGGTTTTTCCTGTAATTCTGATAAAAATATGAAGTTTTACAGCATGTTAACAAGAGGCATTTATATATTTCCTTTCATACTATGAAAAAATAACGTTACGAATATTTAACTCTTAGAGCAATGAAGGTGATGTCTTTTGAAAATTATGCAAATTGAGGTGTATCAAAAGAAATTTATGTAAAATTCGAATTCTTTCATACAAATTGAGGTTGGAAAATTTGCATTCCTATTCTGTTGGAATTTGCTGATAAAAGATTCTGTACTCTAAAATATTAAATACTGAACTCACGCCCAATGGCATCAAATTTGTGAGTTCCTTCACAAATTAAAAGAATTGTATTTGAAGTTAATTAAAATGTTTTTGCCGTACATCAAAGTTGAATAGCATACATTTGCATAACGATAGAATGGCAGTCAATTCGGATATCTTAAAAATCATAGGTATGGTAAATATTTGCTTCAAAGTGTTCGTAATTAAATTTTCAGGTTTTAAGTATTTCGGTGTGGCATTTTCAATTAGGTGCTTTATTTGACTGTTGTTCCGGAAAAAAATATTGATAAATTATTTGTTCATATGTCAGAAATATACATATTTCATTGGCTGTTTATATCAAATGCAAAATGAATGCTGAAAGTTAAAAATTTCTTCAAGGATATGAATTACCTTAATTAACTTTTTTGCCTCGACTAAAAATGTGATCATTTTCAGAAATCTTTGAATTCATTGTTATGATAAATTTTTAATGGTTGCTTCCCAACAAAAACTTAATCCGCACCAGAGGGTATGTATATCCATGACAAATACCCAACTGCGTAAATTTGTTTAGGATATGTATGGCTTATTAATATTTTTTAATTGAGGTTGGATATTTGATAAGTGATCAACATTTTGTTATTATTCAAATTGTGTTACCGAACTTATTTATTTTATTTTTTAAAAATGTCTTATTACCGTACTGATCTGAATACAAAATAGCCAAACATATAAGACAAGCTTGCATATTTGCAACTGTTTTTAAAGCGAACTAAAATAACACGGTGTCCGATGCATCATATTAAATGCATTCGAAAGGGAGTGATAATTAAACGATACACTATGAAATAAAATAAAGAATATATAAATCCTGTTATAGTCTAACTTGAGAAGAAAGCTGTATTAGCTTAACATATTTTTAGGCTTATTCTATGAACTAAATTCTATGAATATTATTCTATGAATATATGAGATTAAAATCATTTTCACCACTGGTAAAAAAACACCACTGATTGAAACACTGATCCACACTGACTTTTACCACTGATCACAATGGTAGAAAACACCACTGATTGAAATTCGGGATAGTAGGATAATTCATTGCAAGAATTAAATTATTAATTAAAGAAGAATTTTAAGGGGAGTCATCACCTTTACACATTCAAAAAATCGAATTTTACTTTTTTGCATATTTAGAAACTGCAAACATTTCTGAATCTGTTAAAATAAACGGCGTTACGATATTCCAATTAGAACCTTAAAAATTATGAAATAAAGGAAACGATTCTGAGATAAATATTGCCAGATTGCGTATTTAAATCATCACGTGACACTTTTTTTCCAATTGTACGCGCAGCTGCTTACGAATGTTCACTCGTAGATTGCTTTAATTTTTACTGTTAACATCATGTCTTTTGGTAAAACTGAATGTGTCCGACACATTCAGAAAAGAATGGCCACTAAATTACGAAAGAGAAAGTAAGAAATGAAGGGGAAGAAACTTAGTGACAGTAAAACTCTCAGTGGAAAAGGCCGCCTTACAGATGATATTATAAATCAATTGACAATTTATTATGGAAATGCTACTATAAAACATTTCATTTCTGTAAAAGATATGCAGAAAGCAGGATGGGCAATATTTTGCCACAAATGTTCAATCAACGTGGAACCTACTCACAATTTTTTCCCAACAGGGAAAGATTCGTGTGTACATACCAAGCAGCGAGTGCGCGTGGAAATCTGAAATCGTACAAACATAAAAATTCAATTCCACCATCTGTAATGGATGCTATCAAAGATATATTTAAAGATATTAGCATGCCATTATTACTAAAAAATTGTTTAGTAGGACATACACCGAGGTCATGGTGCAGTATACCCTAAAAGTATTTCTGACAAGCATTTATGAAATAACTTTCTTTTAAAATAATAAGAATGATAATTCGCTTTTTTTCAAATGATAATAAATCAGGAAAACTTTTGTATATAGAAAAAAGTTACATTTGTAACACTATTTTTATAATAATTAGAATTATATACCCCATATTTTCTATTATAAAAGAAGTCTATTATAAAAGTCTATATAAAGTCTATTATAAAAGAAAAAATGACAAAAACTGCAAATTGCTTTAGATGTTTTCTAAATTACTTTTTCTCTTAATAGTTCTAAAAACTCCAATATTATTTCTTATTAATAGCTATACATAAATCCGATACTGATTACAATTATCAAAAAACTACTAATTTAAATTTTATAGTCAATGTGTATATAATCAAAGCATATGCAAAACAATCGACTAAATGTACTTCAAATGTGCATAATTCTGTCTCAAAATAATTCCATGAATCTCAAATTTCATCTGTATACATTATTATATCCTCGATATCAATTTATCAAATTAAATCATGTACCTGAAACACAAACAATATTTTCGTAAGAAGTCGAGAAGACAACTATAAAAATGATCTTAATGAAAAGCTTTGTTTTCCAGAAATTACTTTTGTGGACTTTTATGGTTGTTTTAAGGATGAAGTGATTGAGGCTAAGAATACTGTATCAGATAAACCACGTGTTATTTTCAAATTCGCCTTGTTTTCTTTCTCCGTTACTGACAGTATCTGTGTAGAATGCAGAGCCATCTGGTTGTTAATGCCGGAAACAAACGCATTTGGAAACGATGTCATAAAACTCTGAATATCCACATTTAATAGATTTTGACGCTTACAAAGTAACATGTATATGAAAGGTAATTAATTTACAAAGCTAGAAAGTTTCGATTATTACCTTGACAGGATCTGTGAAAGAGATCCGAATTTATTAATGAAAGTAAATTTGTGCTACAATTACGACTAGTTTCCATGCTTTGGATTAACATTCAAAATATATGACCGCTTTTATGACTCATAAAATAACCAGTAACCTTTTTTTCAGCTACCTTCACAAAGAGAAAGGAAATTAAGAAAGTTTCTCCTCTTCTTAAACGATTAAAGAACAGATTGTCGCATGCGATCCTGGAACGAAAAGCTTAACAAAGGAAATTTCAGGTAAAGTTTTAATTTAATAAACATTTATGTATTAAGTAATACTTTAAAATACGTTTTATTTCTGTATATTTTAAGTTCATAAAATCTATAAGCCACTAAACTTGCCACTTTGCTTTAAATATGATTTTCAAAGTAGTGTAGCCTGTTTTTAAATGCACACTAATTTTAACCGAGGAAAGTTTTATTAATGCTCAGAAACCCTTTCTGAAACTTTTTTGATTCTATGAAGTAATTGGAGCAAAGCACACCAGTTTGAAAATTACCTCAAAGAAAAGTCACTGTAATTTTGTCAAAAGTCATGTGATGAGGTTGATGCATACACGTTACTATAGGGATTATTCTCATTTTAAACTCCTTGAGATGATATATAATTTAATTGCAATTTTACTGAGATGATCATACCCTTATGAAGCAGACTGTTATAATCTTATAATCTAATTTAGTTTGTCGAGTAAGTTAATTAACAAATTGTTTTTAGCCTTTATATAAAATACAATAATTGAAAATAATGTAGTTTCATCATTTGTTCCTTATATTCAGTTTAAAGCAATGTTAGCTAGAGCACTTACAGAAAATTAACTTTCGTATTTTGTGTTTTTGAATCAGATGTATATGCTGATGGTTTTGTCTGTGTCCAATACGCTTGCAGAGAAATCAAACTGAGTATTTAATAGCTGCCAAAATATTTTAATAATTCGAAAATTTACAAATGATAAAATAAACACGAACATATTTGATACCACTTACTACATAAAAGTGTAGCATAAACTAATATCTTTTTAAATTGTGGTCCGCTACAAATAATGGCGTTAAGCATACATATGAACAGCGTTAAGCATACATTTGAACAGCGTTAAGCATACATTTGAACAGCGTTAAGCATACGTAAATCGAAACATCTTTTCTAACGCAATATAATATTCTGCTAGTTGAAACGCAGCTCTTAGTATATTCAAAAACTGTTAAATATAATTTTGCTAAGTATAAAACAAATTGTGTAAATTAATAATTTTTTGTTTTTATTTGAAATATTTCTGCTACATAATCCTCAAGAAAAAGGATTATTTTTCAGTTAATGATAAAATCATGCGCTATATAAACAGGCATTATTGTCAATGAATGATGCATAGGATATTTGTTTTACTTTCAATTATAAGTGCTTTTTACTTATGAGAAATAAATTTAATCATTTGAAATTTCACGTCTAAAGATTGCTTTTAATATTTTTCAAAAGTACTATTTTATATCATGAAAATTGCGAGAAATAAATTAGGTTTCATAAACCCTCCAGACAGAGTGCTTAGGTACATTATTATCTATATAAAAATAAAATCTAATGGCTATAATAATTTTGATAGTGACATACGAGAATGTAAATTCCCAGACGTAAATTTATTTCTTTTTAAAATTTATATGATTTTTATATTACACATTTTGTATTTCTTGCATTTCTTTCACTTTTTGATCATAAACTCTTCTTTGAAATATTTTAATGCAATTTGTATCTTTCCCATTGCAATTATTTTTCTCTTTAAGGGAAAAAAGAAAATTTTGCTCAGAAATGTGCCAATTTTTACTTAACATAGATCTTATACCTGGCGTTTAAATTTATTAGAGATGTATGTTGTTAAATCCTTAGTCATGGGTTCTTCTATCATATTACAGTAAGCGTTTGTAAACTAAATTTCTGGAAATTTTATTTCATATATCGAAATTGAAGAACTTTGTTACAACAAAATTTTTCGTGCAATCTTATATTTCAAAGAAATTTTTTTTTTTTTAAGTCGGTTCTTTTTTTTTTTTTTTTTTTTTTTTTTTGACATCTTAATTAAGCGTATTGAGTCTATTTTACTTTAAAATAGTACAATAAAATCCTTTCAGTTGTTATTACTCTGCGTATGATTTGTTATGTTATGATGTACACATAATTTCGTTTTATATTTTATCTATTTTTATTTCTCTTTATTTTTTTTCTGCTTGTTTTCAAAATTTTAACATAAAAACCACGTTCTATTCCATATGATCGCCCACCAGCGGCCGAGCGGTAAAGACGCTGAACACTGGTAGTTCGGTCCAAGGTTCGAATCCCGCGAACGGGCTGGCTGCATGGGCGTTTTCGTGTTTTTCCCAATGTGTAACGTGTATACGAGCCAGTTTCCCTTAGAAAGTCCTCCACGAAAGGCATCCCTCCCCTTAGGCAGATAGCCCTAGTGTGCTTTGCCATAATTAAATACACCAAAAACTATTCCATATGATCATACATATGCGTATCTAATACTTTTTTCTTTCTTTAGATACAAAATTTAGTTTTTATTTAAGTTAAAATTTATTTATTTTAACGTAGAAATAAAGCTTGCTTCAAGAAATATAAAAATAAAAAATAACAACCATATGCTTTCCAACTACAAAACACTTTGTCTTTTGACAAGGTTTGAAAGTTACCTTTCCCACAAAAACAACTGAGAAAAAAAATATTTATTTAATAAAATGGATTACTTGAAACTTTTCATATCCATAAAAATCCTCTGAATTTAATGAATGACTGCAAGTTCTGTTTCCCTTCCGTTCTCATATTCATTAATATATGATTCGTTTTTACTATAATTTTTACACAACAGAATAGCGTAATTAATTTGTTTTTCGTCATTGATGATATCATTGTACTTTCTAGTTGTTCACTATTAAATGCCCTTTCTGGATGTATTTGTGTTTATCTTTTTCTTACTGCCTAGGAAACTGGATAAAATATGTTGAATCCGTATTGTCTTGTCCTGTTCTCTATAACGTACGTTTACGGCGAGTTACTTACACTCCTTGTACGAATTATGTAGTTGGATATATGCGGTTACATGATTATTACAAATACTTAGTTTCTATAATTAGCTACTTAAATTTCCTATGCAAATTTAATGATGATCCATTTAAGTTAAATGAAATTTCTTGATGTAATATTACCCAATATTATAAATATTGTCAAAAAACAAGACTAATGTAGCAGATCTTATATCCCAAACTTTAATTGTAACAAACTCATATTTGTGTAACTACCAGTCGCAGAGTATGCGCTTCGTCCTTGAATAAAATATGTAATGATTTAATTTTAATGTAATGTAAAATGAAGTAATCCGTTTCGGAATCCCCAAAAAATTTATCTTGGCACCTATTTTTCAGTTTGAGTCAAGAATAATTACTTTGGCGAACTTTTTAATGTATAGCAACCTATTTTCCTTTCCCTTTTTGTCATTGTCCATAAGCGCGGGAAAAAATTCAGCGTTCATACAAATAATTTTAATAACAAACACATTTCCGTTATTATCGCTTATAATAAATATGCCAAATTTCAAAACACGGCAAAATGTAAATTCACGTATATCTTAGGAAATTTTGAATGAAAAACTCTAATCTTTCGCAGGTATATTTTGAAATATATCTACGTTAAGATGATGGCAAAATTGTATAGGTTATAATTCAAACTTTGTTTCGAAAAATTTATAAAAATATTTTAAAATACAAATTTTAAAAATACAGCTATTTTTTTTAAATCTACTCGTGCGATTTTTATAACACTTGGAATTTTGTCATAATTTGAGTCGTAGAATCGAAATATGGAAAAAATATGGCATGTCACTTAAGAAAAAGTCTGGTTTTGTATCAAAATACCTATATTGTAAAAGTGCTATATATAAATCGAATACATATATCTTAAGTCGCGCTTTCGAGACATGAAAAACGCTAGCTGAATTTCGTCAATTGGACCCAGTAGAACGGGGAATATAAAATTGTCCTTTTCTTTTCTTCTTTAGCGGAGTGCACCTCACCCCATTTAGCGCAACTTTCTCAGATAAAATAGCTATGACATCTTCCCTTTCATCCTTTTAGCATAACAGAAGTACTACAGCAAGGAGCTGAACATTTTAAATCCATGTTTCTCACTTTGATCAAGAGTAATTGATTATTTAAAAAATCAGGAAAAAAATCATTTTATTATGTGTACCATAAATATTGATGTCTGGTTTATATAAATATATATAAATACACTGAATATAACGTATATCGATTAAAATTAAATTAAATTTACGATCAAAGTAGGACTAAAGAAGCTTTAATAATGTTAAATCAAATATCATTCCTTGCATCTACTTTAATTTGCTTTTATTTAAAACTTTTGTTTTATTATTATTTATTTCAGGACAAATAAAGATTGTAATAATATAGTAAGAAAATAAGATATCAAACTGGAAGTTTGGTAGCAGTAGCCATACTAATTTCTAATATTTTTTAATTTTTATTTTCACATTAAAATACCATTTTCTAAGGTGAAGTTATTAGATGCAATTTTTGTGCTTCAATGTATATAAGTGGTATATTTCGTTTAAGTTTAAGAAATAGAGGGCAACTGAAATTTGATTGAAATAACATATTTTTTTTAAATAAATCATTACTAGTGACGAAAGTTGATGTTTGATTTATAACCCAAAGGATATTCTTGCGGGATCTTCATGCGGAAGAGAGAACTCCCTTCGGGCACAGAGAAGTTCCTTTTAGAATTCATAGAGCTCCGAGCAAAGGCTGGCTGGTGGATTTTTTTTTCCAGGATATAATTCACAAGGAATTTTTGCTTGAAGTGGAAGGTAGCTGATTCCTTGTTTTATAAAGAAATAATAGATCTTATGTCCTAAAATAATCTATCCAGTGAAACCAGCAAAAGCCTCGTCAAATAACGACTCATTTTGCTTCTTTAACATGGCTTTTTGAAACATTTGATAGGAAAAATTCCCAAATTCTATTAATTATCCTCTTACTCACCAAAACTGACATCTTGCACACTACTTTCTGTTCCCTTATAAGGTATTTCTCTCGCCTTCTTAGCATGCATTCGTGGTGTGGTGGTCTGCACGCTGAACTCGTATTCTCGAGGTCCTCGGTTCGAGTCCCGGCGAAGGCTTTGCTCATTTTACATCTTGCCTGCTTCCAAAAATCCTAATGTCTCTACTGTGGCT